TATTAAAATTAGCAGGTATGTAATATTTTATTTATTTATTATTTGTAGGTATTTACCTCATTGTTTGTGTCGAAATATCTCTACTTGTAGTTTCTGTTTCTAACTCCCCTAAACCTGTACTACTGATTAATAATGCCTCACCAAGTACTTCACCTGAGCCTTCACCAATATTTGTTAATGTCAAATCATGCTTTTTTTGCCTATAAATTTAAAATTTACCTATGTTGTTTTTGACCATTGAACTTGCCTTAAAACTAACCCTGTAACTACTTTATAAATGCATTCTTTAATATTAATCAGTGCCAAACATACTTACAAGTTATGAATATTTTTAATTAAATCCCTTTTTTTTGTTCTTTCCTCTCGGTCTATCTGTTTTGTGGTTTTGGCCTTTAGAGATTTGGCTAGGTTAAGTGAAGGCACAGCATTCTTTCCCAATTTCCATTTGTTTCTTGGTAGTTGTAAAAGTTTTTCTTTTTCACAAAAATCATCATCCGTAAAATGATCAGAACATATTCTTGCATTCTTAATTTTAAAATTATGTTTTTGTTAGCATTTCTGTACCCATAAATTGCAGACTTCCTTAGCAGTTGGAAAGGTAAAGTATCGGTAGCTAGTTGAATTGTTTTTAGTTTTTTTGTTATTGTTATTTGTACAACCGGTAACTGCACAGTAAACCATTGTTCACTGTTTTGTTTTCAAATATTTGACGTGTATTTGATACACAGAAACACGTAAGGAACCTAAACACAGCGACAGCATTCACATCTCACCACATCATTAGTTTTTACTTTAAAAACCCACTTACAGTCCATTAAGGTTACGTTATCCGGTTTATTTACCAAAGTCCAAGTGTTATTTTTGTTCAGGGAATGAATTTCCTCATCCACAGCCCTTTTCCAAAATCTATAATCAAATGACTCTTTTGCTTTTTCTAAGTTTTCCGAAACAAATTCATAATTAACGTTAAAATTGGGATAAAAATTTTTTCACTGCGGATTATTGTTTATTGATGTATCCCAACATTACATGAATTTTTTCATTCCTTAATATTTACATTTGATATGTTTCAATATTTTTTTTATGTCAGAGTGACGAAAGGCGCGCGGAAGCCAGACTACCCGCTTTTGGCTTTATTTTCAGGGCTCTGTAATTTTCATCGGCGCGTTTTTGGACCTTTCTAGGCAAAAATACGAATCGAATGACACCTTGCTCGTAATTTTTGGACAGGGCTGAAAAATGTTACAAAAAAAAGTACATGTGAACTAGACTAATAAGGGAAAAAAGAGAATTGAAAGTTTTTATGTTTTTTACCACTTTTATTTACTTATAACTAACGTTACTGCAGTTTCGTTCTAAAAGGACAGTTTAATATATAAGTTTGAAAATGTCCTTATAGGACGAAACTGCAGAATCGTTAGTTACAAATAAAAGTGGTGAAAACATAGAAAGTTTCAATTATCTTTCCTTCATTAGGATTCAATTTAGTTCATGTAAAATTCAAATATTCATGTAAAATTCAAATATCCTGATCGTATTTGAGAGAATATGAATATTGATGTCGCCAATACAAATAGAATTGACTATTTCTCTTGTTTTAAAGGATGGCAAACTCTTTCATAACTTCAGGTTTCAAATGATTACTCAATTTTATTCACTAAGAATTATATTTTCTTAAATAGTTATAGACTTTCCTACTATAACACATATATGTGCCAACAGTATTCACATAAAGAAAGCAAACAACATTATATATAGAAAACAAACATTACAATGATATCAACAACAAAACAGAGAAGTTTCATTATATATTCGAAAATATATGAGTTGGGATTGCTGAAAGTATGCCTGTACCCTTTGAATAACTTGCATTGTTAACATGACCTTATATCGGCAGTTAATCTGTTTATCACAAAAAATATACGACCGAATCCTGCAACACGGAAGCCGATTCCAAAAAGAAGAGTAAGATTTTCCGGTCGAAGTATAATTTCATTTCAACCTCCTGAATGTTACTCTCACCTTGAATCAGCATATAATTGGGAAGAATGCGGTTTGTTCATTGCTATTATCTCGCCACATTCAAGACTTGCCTTCGATTTCAATTGTGATGTGTGATATTTCCTTCTCTCATTGTTACTTTAAACGTACATTCTTGTATAATCACCAATTGAAACACTATTCAATACAAAAATACTGAAAAAATGCCTGAGTACATGATCGATTACCAGAGTCTTGAAAATTATCAACAGAGTGGACTAAAGTTATTATATGAAGAACCATAGCCTGGTGGGTTGACGTGGGTAATTTGCTTCACTCACTCAGTCAATCGCTGTGTGAACCGGTGGTTCAAACCGCAAGGTCGGACGATCGATTTTCACTTCCTATCGTCCAACCCGTGTTAGGAATCACACTTTGAAAGTTAAGACCTCGTTAGCCCTTAGCTCGCACAAATTTCGAATTTTGAGAGTTGGGGGGCGACAGGTGGGTTACTGAAAAACTTATTTTAATAGGTTTTTTCAAAGAATCTTCGATTTATTTAAGATTCTGAAGATTAATATTTGTTTTAGCATCGAGGTTAGCAATTGACGGTTAGTTATGACATCTCACTTTTATGAAAATCTTTGAAATTAACCGTCAAATGTTGCAAATGCTTATTCCCGATAAAAATAAATTGCTTTCTATCTCTTTGCAGCAACCAGTACATATTCAACTCAGTTTGAGCAACAACAGATTACACATGCGTCGTGAATTGTGCAAACAATATTAGTGAACAAAGTATTGACAACGAAACGACTAGACTACTGCTCCGAACAATCCAATCTTTTGATGAAGAATTGCTTTCATAACGGGCCATCATTGTATCTCAAAAACGGTGGTTCGTAGAAAACAAAATAATTTTTTTGTATATAATTTTATGATCTATAATTTTTGTCTGAAGTTATTTTATGATAAAACTTACAGTTTTGTTGAAAATCGCGAATGACTAATTTTTTTGACCTTTGACCTTGAATAAAATTTTTTTCATATAGGTGAGAGATGGGGAACTTTCAAATTTCATTTTTAATCATATTTTAAATAATCTAACTGATTTTCAGCTTGGAGGAAATTTAGGTAGCTTCACTCCTATTTTTTGGTCTAATTTGACCGGACTATTATTTATTATTCTATATTTCATTTTCCAACTCCGATATCTGACAATTTAAATATTCCTGATGAAGACATGGAAGATTTAGTAAATATATACAAGAGCGTCGAAAAACTGCATAGCATAACTTCAACCTTATATATGCCTGAAAAAACTGAAGGAACCCGCGGTGAGCTGGATGATTGGAGGAGAAAACATAAAAATCGAAAAACTAACAATCAAAACTGAACTAAATTTTCATTGAATAGTTTACAAAACCACAACACGTGTTTCACTATACAGTAGCTTCTTTAGGCATGCATATGTGAAGTATTTGAAATATGACAATTAAATGTTACTCAAATACCCTGGTAGTAGAAACTCAAATGGGTAGGGAAAAAACGTAGATGTTGGGTGAAGACATTAAAAATAAACTCTCATATATTGAGTACATGAAAAAATTGAGGCTATGCCCCAAAATTCGAAAAATAAATCATTTAAGCATATTCAATATGCAAGCCAAAAAAAATTGATACTTTTTATCAGACCAGACTGAGATATCAAAATGCTCCATTTTTCATCGAAAAGCAAATGGCAGCCACCATCGTAAAAAAAATACCTATCGGGTGATCAGGCGGAAGGGTTGGGAACGAGGAAAATACCACGCTCTCATAAATGTCTGGAATTCGGGCACCGAAAAAAATATGAAATGAAAACTGGTATAAAGGAACAGTTTCAGAAATGTACAAAATGAATAATAAAGCAAAAAATTATACAAATGATGCCACGCAAGCAAAACTGAAGGCTACAGAGAAGAGATCAAACGCTACCCAGAATATTGAAACCATGTTGAATCAATATAGACTTATTTTTCTAAACCATAGTCTTCAACAGACATTATTTTATATACTTAGGGTTTTCATAAACAAATGTTTGAACTTTTTCTTATTTTCAATAGGACCACTGGTTATTTTGCTACTGTATGTATCATAATTAATATTTAAGGGTAAAAAAATCATAAGTATCAGTCATCCTAAATCATCATCAATGAATTCTGATGTTTTTAAAATACTTCAAAATATTCAGCGATTATTAGTATGGTTTCCACAAATGAATGAAAAATTTCAGGATACCTACTCTTCGTGTTTAATAGCTGTGTAAAAAGTATATATTATGAATTAAACAACGATAATCGTACTAATTACTGAATACACCTGAGCACAATCTTTAAATAATGAGCACTTGATAGTTTCAAATACAATTAGTTGGTTATTACTGAATAATGACAATGTATGTCATTGAATAATTATATATTTTTCACAATTGTATTTCTTTCATATAAAGAACATACAGGAATTCAACAATAAGTTCTGGGTAATTTCATACATAACTTATTTGAGTCTGTTACCAGGCGTTCTCTTTTCATCTAAATCCGTTAGTCGTTTAGGCGTAGAGGAGCCACAAAAATACCTATATACATTTAGCCATCCTCACAAACTTTCACATTTATAATATTTATATAGATATAGATAGTAGTATAGATATGTAATTCATGCAGAAAAGTAACTGACGAACACAGACTGGAAGAAAAAACCGTCTCGACACAACTACTTTCATATAAACAAACATTGAAAAAAGTTGTTTCGAGAGAGATTTTTTTTCAGCTTTTGTCTGAAAGTTACTTCTTTACATGAACTACATGTATTTGTATATATTTAATTTTGAAATCAATTGCTTTCGTCCTTTTTTTGAAAGGACTTTTTTGTTTAAAGATGGGGAAGTAGAATCTCAGAACCTTTCTTTTCCACAAATGAATTTCTCTTAAAAATATACTCCTTTCAATCGAATTTATTACAATGGATTTTTTTTCTAGATTACGACAATGGGATAAACCTACCTGGAGAAAAGAATAAGAAATATTTTCGATCAAAATACTTTTTACATTCAAGTTGCTCCTCTAACAAGGTAAGTTATGTTATTTTGAATTAAATAGAACCAATTGAAATTTTTTTGAGTATATTAAAATAAAACACAATGAAGATTTTTTCAGACATTTTTCAAATGATATATTGCATTATTTATTCGCTATGAGGACAATGTCTTCTTATTTTATTAAAGGTAATACCCGAAGTGCACCAAGTTTAATCAAGTTTCGAAATTTTGCTAAGCAAATTACTTGAATGATAATAATAATACCAATAGTATAATACATATATATATATTAGAAATACAATTTAATGGAAAAAATATGACGTTAATAATTTATCGTTCGATAGATAAACGTAGACAACCAACACGGAAATGAATCCGCGTTTGGAGTGAATATTAGTTTTATAAATAATATTTACTTTCTCGAATGAAGTGATGTGGAGATGAAATTGATTTGCTAAAATGTGGCCTACATGAAACAAAAAAATATATAATACTAGTTGTTGCTCGCGACTTCGCCTGCGTAGAATTTGGTAGTTGTAGTACTAATTAGTACTATGTTGCTGTATGACTGCTGTTCCAATGTTCCAGCGTTATAGAACAGTGCTTTCAAAAAAAAATTCTACAGCGCCATCTAGTGGCGAGTTACAGTAAAATTGATAGCCTAAAAACCTTCTCTATGAAAAAAATCTCATACATGTCAAGATCATCACGATCGGTTGAGCGATGTAGAAGTTTATCACTTACCAACCAACCAACCAACCAACCTACAAACATCCATTTTTATATATTAGATGAATGGTAGGTAGCAGTACCAGCACAATGTGTACTCGTATACACACGTACACTTCTTATACATTCGAACATAAACTGACATTAAGATATTATACAAATGAGTAAACATTTGAATGGTTATTTGACATTTTCGAAAATCATTACAATATAGTCATTCCAAACTATAACATGTCCTAGTGGGGGATACAAAGTTTCGGGCTCCATTTAAAGGTATACTGAAAATCGAGCTCTTATTTTTTTTCTTGGAAAATGAGAATGAAATAATTTTTTATAGTCAGTTGGTGATTCATTGAAAAGTTTCGATCCCAAAAAAGTAAAACATTTTGAACGATTGTAGTTTTTCGGTTCTTTTTCAGATATCGTGATAATTATATTATTGAATTGGCAAGTGTTATGTAATTCTGCCTTTTTTCTGGAACGTTTTATAATACATATACAAATACAAATAAAAATTTAGATTCATTACGGATTAAGAATGTGCCTATCTGTTATTTCTTTTTTACCTTCAATTGTTCAAGTGGTATATTTCTCATTGCCATTTCTTCTTCAGGAAGTTCTTCAGTAATTAATAACTTTT